TTAAGATATTTAAGTTGGCATACAATTCTTAACCTATCATCGAAAAACGATTCACATTTTAATATATAATATATATATATACTTTTAATATTTTTATAGCATTTCAGCAAATTATAATTTGATACACGATACACCCTTACATTTGTATTTTATCTTATTTATGTATATATAAAAAGTAAAGCTATCCTTGTACAAGGCCGTGAAGGCCCATAAGATTGTGAGACGTTGAGGGTCCCACACTATCTAGACAATCGGCTCAAAGATGGCGGTAAAGTTGTCAGCCTTATGCGCCGGCCGCGCTTTACTCCCCAGGAAAATTGTTTATTTGATTCCTGGTACTCATTTCTGTTAGAGGCTGAGTAAACCCCAGGGCCCAGTGCGGCCTAGCTACTATATTATTGTAACATCTACTTGAGGCAAGAGTTTTATGTCAGTACATAATACGTGTTGCACCGATTAGGATCCATATCGGTATTTCAATGACTATACGTACAACTGCCTGATGATGGTATTACGTGACCGATCTTTATACGATCAGAAATAAAACTGAATATTTGTTGTGTTGACGGTGACATAATTCATACATATATCTGTAACACACAACAGGATGCAACCAATGAAGATATATTAATTGAATTCAGTTCATGATTGATAAGGATGAAGACTAACCCAACTGCTGACTTGTATCACAAAGCATGGGTCCTATTATAGTAGTTTGCATTGTTTTAGCAAACATATTCTGTATTTTGCTCCTACTATAAATTGTGGTTTTATTTATTGTTACGTGTTAGTGTATTTCATTTCATCAGTAATCTGTCAAATAAAAATATCCTCTTCTGCCCCCAAGGTCATCCAGAATATTCTTACGTCTGTTTCCTCGTCTTCTGGTCGCATACACGGTATTTCTGTTTTTGGAAAGAGACTATACAGGAAAGTTGATAATGTGGTAGTTTTTCCATTTGCTTTCCACATCGCAGTACAACAGCCGTTCAAACCACTCTGGTCACGCCTGTTGCTATACGAACTTGAACCATCTCGAGCATCATTTGCTCTGTGCTTCAAGTCGCTGCTGATGACGCTGCTTCCGGCATCAGTTTTTGGTTTTTGGTGTCTCTCTTCGTCTGATGCCTACCCTTTGACCTGTCCAGCAAGGGAGGCCCTGCCAGTAGCTACGCTACCGCTGGTATAGCTCTCAGGGTCCTTGGCATACTCAAACCCCCTCTGCTGGTACCACCGCCGCTTCGGCGATCGGGCACAAAACTACTCCTTCCTGTTCCTACCGCCAGCAGGGAAACTGACGCAGCGGACATCATCGGCGGCACATGTCTGCGCTACGACAACAGGTCGCCTCTTCATAAGGACAGACTCAGCAAACGGCTGTTCCTAGTCGACACGGGCTAGGACCTGTGTATACCCCCGCAGGCTCGTTCATCGACGCATGGAACGTACCAACTATGACCTGTGTGCGGCTAATAGCACTACCATCCGCACATACGGACGGCTGCCTCTCAGCCTCAACTTAAGCCTACGCCGAGAATTCACGTGGCGCTTCGTGGTGGCCGACGTCACGCATCCTACCATTGGCGTGGACTTCCTGTCGCATTTCGGTCTCCTGGTGGACTGTCGGAACCGCATCCTGGACGGGGTCACGACGCTGTCAGCCCTGGCCTCAGCGGCCAACGCACTGATCCCCAGTGAAAGACAATCAGCAGTAACACACCGATAGACAGCCTCCTCGCAGAGTTCCCGGACCTGACCCGCCCAGCTGGAGTCCAGCGCGAGATACGACACAACACCGTCCACCACATCAGGACTGTACCTGGCCCACCAGTAACCTGCCGACCACGGCGACTGGCACCGGACCGACTCGCTATCGCAAAAGCCGAGTTCGTCGCCATGTTGCGGGATGGTACAGCTCGTCAGAGTTCATGGTCCTCGGCACTACACATTGTGCCCAAGAAAGACAACGGTTGGCGTCCATGCGGCGACTACATAGCGTTCAACTCCCGAACCATCCTTGACTGCTACCCTGTATGCAATATCCACGACTACTACCACCAGATTTTCGGTTGTTCCGTCTTCTCCAAGATCGACCTTGTGTGAGCCTACAACCAAATTCCCGTTCATCCCGACGATATACAGAAGACGGCCATTACCACTCCATTTGGCCTATTCGAGTTCCCCTTCATGTCCTTCGGACTGCGCACAGACTTTCCAACGCTTCATGGACGACATTCTGCGGGGACTCGACTTCTGTTTCGCTTACCTGGATATCCTCATCTTCTCCCGGTCTCTTGAGGAACACGAGCAACACCTACGGGCACTCTTCGACCGAGTGCAGAAGTATGGGATCCTCATTAGCCAGGTCATGTGCGTCTTCCGAGTACCTGAGATCACCTTCCTCGGTTATAAGGTGTCCGCCGAAGGCTCCCAACCGCTGGAAGACCGAGTGACTCACCTTCAGGAATGTTATCCTCCCAAAACCGCCAGTCAGCTCCGCCGTTTCCTGGGTATGCTGAACTACTACAGGCGATTTCTGCCCCACGCGGCAGCATACCAGGCACCACTACAAGACGTCCTCTCCGGACCCAATGTCAAGGGATCCCACCCCATCACTTCGACACCGGAGCTCCAAAGGGCCTTCGAAGAGTGCAAGGCGAGTTTATCACGCGCCATACTACTGATTCACTCAATCCATCCGCGCCACTTGCACTAGTCACAGATGCCTCCACGTCCGCCATGGGTGCCGTGCTACAGCAACTTGTCAAGAACGCCTGGCAGCCCCTGGCATTGTTCTCAAGGAAACTCAACCCGGCCCAGCAAAAATACAGTGCGTATGACCGCGAGCTTCTGGCCATCTATGAGGACGTAAAGTACTTTCGCCACATGCTGGAAGTGCGCCACTTCAACATCTTCAGACCACAAACCTATCACCTACGCTTTCCAGCAGAAAAGGGACAAATGCTCACCAAGGCAAATCAACCACCTGGATTTCATAGCACAATTTACGACCGACATCCGACACATCTCGGGACAGGACGTTGTTGCCGACGCGCTCTCCCGCGTCGAGACCGTCACTGCGCCACCATTCTACGACGCATTGGCCGCATCTCAGGACGGCGACGACGAGCTCCAATCACTTCGGCAGTCAAACACCGCTTTTCGGCTCGAGAAGCTACACAATCCCCGGTACCACGGTGTCCATCTACTGCGATACCTCTGGCGGGAAACCTCGGCCGTACATCCCAGCTCCTCTACTGTTGCACCCTGGGACCAAAGCAACGGCCAAACTGGCCGCACAGCGTTTCGTGTGGCCAGGCGTGCAGAATGATTGCCGCACCTGGGCACGTGCTTGTCAATCCTGCCAGGGCTCCAAAGTCTCCCGCCATACAGTGACTCCATTGGGCGACTTTACACAGCCGGCAGCCAGATTTCTTCACATCCATATAGACCTTGTTGGACCCCTTCCGACGTCAGGAGGCTACACATACTGCCTCACTGCAGTCGACCGTTTCACCCGTTGGCCAGAAGCCATCCCCATCCCGGACATCACAGCCGACACAGTGGCACGACCGGCTGGATATCCCGCTTCAGTTGCCCACAGACCATCACCCCCGACCCGGGACGTCAGTTTGAATCTCAACTCTTCCACTCCCTGGCCAAACTCTGTGGCATTCAACCCTCGCGAACTGCTCAGCACCCAGCGGCGAACGGACTCGTGGAACGTTTCCACCGAACACTAAAGGCAGCCATCATGTGCCACGCAGACCAACACTGGACAGAAGCCCTACCCATGGTTCTCCTTGGAATCCGCACAGCATTCAAAGAGGACCTGCAGGCATCACTAGCTGAGCTCGTGTACGGCGAGCCTCTAAGAATACCAGGAGAGCCACCAACTCCGACTGCCGAGCCAGTGGATCCAGCGCACCTTATCGCCCAACTTCGCCAATATATGGCCCGCCTCAGACCAAATCCAGCAACACGCCATGCCTCCCCGGTTACATTCGTGCACAGCGCCCTCAAGAAGTGCACGCACGTCTTCCTCCGGCAGGACACGACTCGCAGAGCATTGGAGCCCTTACCAGGTCCTATCACGGAAGGAGAAAATAATGCAAATCCTCGTGCGCGTCAGGCTCGCCACCGTGTCAACCGATAGAGTCAAACCTGCCTACATGTTAAACGAGACGTATAACGCGACAAATAACTTCACGCCGTATTGGATATAGCGAATTTTATTTCACACTCGCTCTTACAATCTCAACATTACTGCCATTGGCAGTATCACAAATAGTAGACTGCAATTAACTGGTGACTGACTCTCTGGCTAACTCGCAACTCACTGTTGAATAGTGTTCGCTGCTCCTTATTTAGCCCCGTTACGGACAACACAAAAAACAGTACGTAATAGGCACTACTGTTTGGTAACGTCGTGTTTACCGACTGCCTAGGAACAGTCGCTGCACAGACTCCACGCCGTTTACAAAGGCGTTGCTGGGCAGCGCTGCCGCGAGTTCTTTACGGCTACGTAGCAACGGCGGCGTCCCGTGTTACGTCACCGCGGGGAAAAGGTTGTCTACCGAGCGTTGCACACTGATGGACGGAGTGGGGGTATGTGACGTCACTCGCGAGATCACAAGAGTTCAAGCGACCCCCACCTTCCGCTACGCCATCCACGTCACACTGCTCCCTTCTAAAGGTTATTCGTCTCGAACAGCCTAACGGTACATCCCCGTTCCTTTTTCTTCCCGTTGCTGTGTCTCCTGTTGTTTCAGCTACTCCTCAGCAGCGACCATTCTCCTTCCGTTACAACCGTTCCCCTCTTAAGACCAGATCGTCTCGAACGGTTTCCTGCTAGCTTGCCAGAAGATCAAGTTGTGTCATATTCATTCGTCACTTTCGTTCTTTCCTCTTTCACTCTTGCTAGGGAGGCCGGTGTTTCTACTACCGGTTCCTCCTATATGCTTGAAGTCTCCATTTTCGTTTTGGAGGGGGTCGACACCTCCACAGTGTCCAGGTTTAATGTTCGTATCTGCTGGAATTCCGTGCAGCACGTCTGCTTGTGCACTTGCACATGCATCAAAATTTCCTTTCACGACGAATCCTTCTCGTGCTTTCTTTGGTACATCTCTATGATGGCTTGCGCATGACTCTAACTGATCTCCCTGGAGTCTGAGTCTCTTGCGCTGTCACATTTGCACAGCTAGTCATCTTCTTGTCGGCCGCGACCAATCGCTTCCTCCGGGGTCCACCAGTTCCCTGAGAAAGGTTCTCCTTCACGATGTCTCTTTTGCGTCGTGCAACTGTTGCGCGATGGGACATCCTTGTGTCGCGTCTCTTCAGCGGTCCACAATTTCTTTGGATCCAAGATTTCCTGAAGATATTCCTCCTGAGCCATGCCACTGTTGCACGGCGGGACACCTTCCTGCAGGCGGCGGCAAACTTCATCCGGGATCCAGAAACTCCTCGGGTTATTACCTGTGGCTCTCCACGTCGCCCTGCAGCTTGCTTCTTGCCCCTATACCGCTTCTTCCAGTGTTTCTGTGAACGATTAGACATCGCCCAGACTCGTGCATACCGAAAGGACCGTACATAACTGGAGAATGAGGAACGCAAGCGTAAATATCCGCCCGTTGCCACATAAGCCATAATTAGAAAATTATGTCAGCAGCAGGCATTTAGACTGCAGAAAGGTTTTGTGCAGGAACTGTATGCATTTTTGTGCACAGACGTTCGAAATTGAGGGGTAAAAATATTTTTGGCATCAGTGTAACAATTTTTAGAGATTTTAACATCTGTAAATTACAATGTCTGATTCTATATTCTTTCTAGATAAAAGCAGCGTTTATTTCGTTCACAAAAACTGTAGAAATCGCAGAATTTTCAGTAACATGCTTACAATTTTTATTACTCTACAATGGCGGACATTTAAATTAATTCAGGCCTGCGGCCACTACTGGAATTTAAATGGCTGTCTCTTAAAGGTTAATGACACTGCCTGATTTTATTAACGAATTATATAATTACACTGAAATTTACTTCACAATTTTCAGTTGGCTCTTTCCCTCTAAGGCAAAGGAGACCTAAAGCAAAAAGGAGTGCCTGAGTGCCAAACCACTTTCTTTCTTGATCTCATGACAGACCGCTGTTTCTCTGCTGATATTCACAATGAAAATAAGTAAGGAAGTGTTTCATGAGCCTTTCAATTAAATTCTCTGGACTACTTCATTTCTCCAAAAGCTGAATCAATCCACCTTTATTTAACTGTCTTTTTATTATCAATATACCAAGTATCCCACAAAAATATATCTTGTCTTCAATGTCCAATACAGAGTAGTTTGTATTCATCTGACCAATGCATAACAGCTATCTCAATATACTCAATCCAAGTAATGTATCAATCTCAAACTGACTGATCAATGAATTTACTCACATCTAATGGCAGAAGAGCACAGATAACGTACAGCAAAAAGCATATACTGCTTAATTATGTGTATAAGCTGTCGATCCGTTTCAGTGCTACACTCTACTAATCATTAGCTTCCAGTGCTCAATTAACATAACTGCAGAAGAATGTCATGTCATGTCTGTTTCCACTCAACAAGACAGGGCACTGTGCACATTCAGCAATCAGAATCAAATATAACTCATTTGCACAGATGTTTTGTACCATGGGACTTGGTTCATTTCCCGTCACTTCGAAAGGTTAGCAACAGCAATAAGCTCCAATATATTGTAGCATTCTACAAAACGGAAGCATGCCACAAACAGCAAAACTTTCTTACTTAAAACAAAAACTGTGGCATGCTACAAGTCACATACTGTTCCTTTAGTATACACCCATCTCTACTGCTTTATGATTTACTGCACACATCAACATGTATGCGCTGATGTGTCTTCAGATGGCTCTGCTGACTGAATGACTTATTACATACAACACAGCAAAATGGCTTCTCTCCAATATGCATGTGCTGATGTCTCTTCAGATTAGACTGCTGACTGAATGACTTTTTACATACATAACAGCAAAATGGCTTCTCTCCACTATGTATGCGTTGGTGTTTCTTTAGGGTAAAATGCAGACTGAATGACTTATCACATATAGCACAGCAAAAAGGCTTCTCTCCACTATGTATGTGCAGATGCCTCTTCACATGTATCTTAAAAATGAATGTCTTATTACATACACTACAGCAAAATGGCTTCTCTGCACTATGTATGCGTTGGTGTGTCTTGAGACTACTCTGCTGACTGAATGACTTATTACATACATCACAGCAAAATGGCTTCTCTCCACTATGTATTCATTGGTGTGTCTTCAGAGTATTCTGCTGACTGAATGACTTATTACATACATCACAGCAAAATGGCTTCTCTCCACTATGTATTCATTGGTGTGTCTTCAGAGTATTCTGCTGACTGAATGACTTATTACATACATCACAGCAAAAAGGCTTCTCTCCACTATGTATGTGTTGGTGTTTCTTCAGAGTACTCTGATGACTGAATGACTTTTTACATACATCACAGCAAAATGACTTCTCTGCACTATGTTTGGGCATATGGATCTTCAGATGAGTCTTTGAAACAAATGTTTTTTTACATATATCACAGCAGAATGGCTTCTCTCCACTATGTATGCGCTGATGTGTCTTCAGACAACTCTTCAAATTGAATGACTTATTACATACATCACAACAAAATGGCTTCTCTCCACTATGTATGCGCTGATGCCTCTTCAGATTATTCTGCTGACTAAATGACTTATTACATACATCACAACAAAAAGGCTTATCCCCACTATGTATGCACTGATGCCTCTTTAGATTACTCTTACAGCTGAATGACTTATTACACACAATGCAACAAAATGGCTGCTCCCCACTATGTGTGTGTCGATGTGCTATCAGAATTTGCTCTTGACTGAATGAAGATCCACACTTATCACAGGAATATCGTCGCTCCTCGCCATGTAGAGGTTGAAGTTCATTCAAATAACCCTGGAAAATGAGAGTAAATAACATGAAATATCCTAATAGGAAGAGAAATAAGTTTGAGGCCCCAAATGCAGTGAAATGTTAACACTTCGTGGACCGGTGATTTAAATACTTAAATCAACCTGGGGACCGGCATTTTTAAACATACTACCCTAACTTGTGGACTGTTCACTTTAAAAATTAATATAAAATCTAATTAATTTTTTGAACTAAACTTTTTGGAGAACACTTACCAATGCTCCTAGAAGTGCTTGAGGGTGTGATATTTCTGGAAACATTCCCCTTTGTGAAGTGGGATTACACAGAACTTGCAAATGTAGAATTACTCCCTTTTTTTTGTGAACTGTGCAAACACGGCATTGCCTAGAAGTATTCTTCCCCTTGGAATGTTCACTCTTCACATTTTTCACGAGGGCATTTTTTCCATATATCACTCAAGAGTTGTCCTGGGGGGACCACATGAGTCCTTCATGGGGTGGGAGTTGATGGGCACGGTCGTACTAAGTCTTTGTGTGACCCTGGTTCTGCCACCACCATCTGGACTGTAGCCCAGGCCTTTGCCACTTTCATCAGAAATGCTTTGTATTTCAATTTTGAATGAGGGTTTAGATTTTTTGCTGTCCCCACAATGTTACTACGCTCAATGTTATTACCCGCATTATAGTCGGAGCTACTGTCACTTTTACTGTCTGTGGCCACAATTCTTTGTTGTCCCCCATCACTGTCACTGTCTGAATGACAATCCATTACTACGCATCTCACAAGGCAGGTCAGCTAGGTCATCGGAGGAGAATTTGTCCTTGATCCATTCTCCCCACTAGCTACTGGCTGATACACACAGCTTGAAGAAGGCAAAGCATTTTCCTTTATAGTCGGTCAAGTAAACAGCAAGGTCAAGTTACTGACTGCTAACTAAATATTCCAGAGTTTTATCACGAACCTGCAGGCGGTTGCATGCAATGTAGGTGGCGCCAGAGCGATGTATAGTGTGTTGCAACTTATGGTGTTCTAAAAGCCTGTTAACATGCGAATGGTCCGTCATGTTTAAAAGCGAAAAACGTTTTAAAGGCTGCGCGGTCCACAAAGTGTTAAATCAGTAGGTGTGAGAGTGGTGGCAGAGAGCACACCCCCTTGTGTGGTGTGTGCCTGAGTCCATCAGCAT